TCTACACCTTGAAATGCATGTTAATACAAGGTCTTAGAATTATATCAAATCAAAATCATTTCAAATGTGAAAAAAAGGAAAAAAATAATTTGTTTCTTGGAAGACAAAAATGAAATTTTAATTTCAGTTCATAGATTCTTTGGTATTTCAGTTCAAATGTTAAAAAACGAAAATAAATGTGATAGATATACAGTCATAATCTTTGTGAAGAGTTAAGCATTTACTTATTAAATCCACACTCGGTAAAAAAAGCCTAATCTGTGACTTGTGTATGTCATATCAAGTAAGGTAAAAGACTTTCACTTTTGTAAATAACTGAACTAAACTGTGAAAGTTATAAATACTTAAATTTTTAAGAAATTGATACATACATTTCAGAGACAAATCAATATATTCAAGCCCCATATGCCTCTTGTTAAAATATTATATTAATTTTTTTTACAACTAAGCATTTTAAGACCTTGACCCTTATTCATTCTCTACACAGTAAGAAATGTCCTCTTTAATGATGTAAAAATTCTATATTTAATTTTTTTACAACTAAGCATTTCGATGTCTTGATCCTGATTAATTCTCTACACAATTAGAAATATCTTCATTAAATGATGTTAAACACATCCAATTAGTCCAGCCTTTAATTAGATGCAGTAAAACAGACATCTTTCCTTTTTATATTTCAATAATCAACTAAGAACACCAAAATTTGGAAAAGATAGTATACTTGTATATAAGTACAGTATGGATATGAAATTCAGTGATGTAAAAAGTGAAATTATTAGTTATGTCTGTCCTAACCACCACCTGGAGTTTGATGTGAATCTCAGCTTGTTTGACAGACTCCCATGGATAATTTTACTGATAGAATCATGATCATTTAAATATATTAATGATATAACAGTAAATGTTTTCTTCTCTCATCACTATCTAAAAATGTCCCTGTCCACTTTTTAAGTATTAGATGTTGTAATCATTACACTATAATTGTGGTGCTATTTGGAAGGATGCGATCACCTGGATTTTTTTGGGGGATGAGATGGCAAGTCTTCATACTGCCTTTGATGATTTTCAAAAATATTTGATTAATTCAAGGAGATAATTCATGCTTTTCATTATACCAATAAAAAATTAAAATAAAAGAAAACTATCGGTTTTTGTAAAAGAAAATACCTGTTCATTGATAAAATATGTTACCCAAGGAAAGATAAAGTGACCCTGATAGCCTGGTAAATATGCTTCCTATCATTGCCAAATATGTGCGAGTAACTGTCACAAATATGTTTAAATGTAAGTAGGTAAATGAAGGAACTTCAGCCCCTAAGATGACTATCATTCAACACTTAGATCCCAACAATCACATTTACAGTTTACTTTTGTTAGAAGTAAATTTAAAATGTTGTCATCTAAAAAAGATAAGAAGGTTACAGTGTTGGCTGATATTTAGATTCATTGTGGAAACATTCTCATTTTGTAAATATATGTTATTTTCCTATTTATACAGATATAACATGGTATGTTAAAAATTGGTTTTTATTTCTTGTCCTTTTTTCACAAAAGTGTAAATAGTTGTCTGTACAGTTAAGAACATAGATATTTTTTGTAAGGCTTTCTATGATAAAATGATATGAAAGCATGAACAAATCTTTTTAAGATACATTGTATAGGTGGGGATAACAGTGAAAAATGTTTGTGGCAGGTTTTATTTGTAAAAAAAAACATGAATAAAACCATTTTGTTTAATACTTTTATTGTTGTGTGAAGAATTTTTACAGAAATTTTAAATCAATGGTGTTTGGACATTCACAGCCCCCATCAGCTGTTCAAGATTGCACGAGAAAGGGAGGTAACTTTTGGAAAGCACATTGTTGTTCAGACTTCAATCTACTGATAAGTATTGTATTGATGATATTAAATACTCACTGTTCTGAAATTAGTACCACAGGTTATTTCTTTTGGTTTTCCTTCAGATCAGTTTATAACTATCTATAGTGTTGTTTATCCTTAGACATCGAGGAAAGTCAACAAAACCAGTGTCTAAAGGAGGGATTTAAATTAGGTTGCCAAAATGTGTAAAATTAAAATTTGTTCTGGTGATTATTTTCTGACAAATGAGATTTTAGACACAAATCTAAGATAATAGATTGCTGTTGCACTTTTCTGATCACTGTGGGAGTCAGAGAAGTCCGTCTGTTAAGAAATGAATCTGGAACAGTAAGTCTGCATTTATACAAATATAAGAGTGAGTAGAAGGAAGGGTGTGATTTGAATTTGCAGTTTTTCTGTCCATATATCTGTTGGTTGATGATCAAGGGGTTCAAGAAACTAAATATTTGTTGTCAGTTCCTAAAAAAGTCAAGTAAAAAAGAATGAATCTTTAGTCAGGATTTAGTATGTCACATCTTGATTTATAGTTGATTTGTTAAAATTGCAGTGATACGTCACTTAGCAACAGAAAACAATGATATTATAGGAACCAAGCTATAAGGTAAACTATGCTGTCATATAAAAATAACTAAAAGTTTCTCAGAATGTCTTATCAAGAGCTCTATGCGGACAATATATCAAAGATTCTTGATTTGCTTAGATTTCAAGATAAAATATTTCCTTCTTCCGATCAAACCTAAGGTGTGGTACCAGTGAAAAAGTCCATTCAAGGACATGGAAACTTGGCGCAGGTGTTATTGACAACGGATACCTGTTTATGTATATTTGTTGGATGGCAGGAGAAATGTGCTCAGATTGTCATTTGGCTTTGTTACTCTGTGCATCACTGAGGATATGTTGAATTGATTTGTTTCCTTAGATAAATATCTTTGAGTTGTCATATTTCTTGTTTTGGGAGGGGGATTTGTTTATTAATTACAAATTCTATGCAGTTTATATATCTTTGAAGAATGATTGAAGGTGGAAGTAACTGTGCGGCCACAATCCACTGTCCTGTCAATCAATTTTAGTTTTCTGATATACATTACCTACACCATGTGTGGAAGGAAGTTCATTTGCCAATGCATGTGTGGGTAAATGTGTAGAGTTTTGACTCGCAACACTTTGGATAGAGATCTAGTTAAAGCTTAATTCAGAAGAAAAGATATGGTTAAAGGAGGGAAATCAAAGTCTTAGTTTCATCTGAAATAAAATTTAATGGATCCAACAAAACTTGTGCAAATGTGATAAAATGTGCCATGAAACATGTTCTGGTATACTGACAACATTTACTATAGTCTGATGGCAAATCCAACATCTATCAAAACGTGAAGGGTGATAATACATCTGTCTGGTAAGTTATAATGTGGGTCATGTTAATGTTGAAAAAATGATGATAAAAAAACCAACCAACAATATCACTTCCAGAGCATCCTTATGGCCCTGCAATTTTTTTGTCAAGGGCATATAGTGTTTGTTACCTTGTGCCATTTCATCATTCAGTCATGTCGCCATATTTTCGTTCCGCTCATTTAGTCTTTCAGGCTTACATATGTATAGATCTAAAATGTGGTATATAGCTGTATAATGATAAGGTGCAGGTCAAAGTTGATATGGTTTTAAAATTTTTATTAAAGGAGTTGGACAATTATTGAAGAGTCTTGCTTAGAATCAGTTGAAGTTAAAAGAAAGAACTTCAAATTTAGATACTTGACCATAGATTTTGCATGCAGAAGTACAATTTCATTTCAGAAGTCATGAGTAAATCTCCGGAAAAAGCTGACAACACTAAAAAGTTTCCAACTCTTCCCTTTTGTTTGCAACGTTGTCAAATGTGTAGCTCTGACGCATTTTGTTTCTTAGTCTGGCGATGCAGGAGTTTTGTTCAGACGAATTGCACTTAGAAACGCCGTGCTATTTGTTGCATAGGGTGAATGTATTCCTATAATTGCATCTACGAATGTTTCTTTTATAAACCATTGCTCATCATGGCACATGTTATGTTGACTTTGGTTTTCTAAAATTCCAACCAGAAGAAATGTGGACAAAATGATGATGATGATGAAACTGGAAACGCCGTGCTATTTGTTGCATAGGGTGAATGTATTCCTATAATTGCATCTACGAATGTTTCTTTTATAAACCATTGCTCATCATGGCACATGTTATGTTGACTTTGGTTTTCTAAAATTCCAACCAGAAGAAATGTGGACAAAATGATGATGATGAAACTGGTAGCATACACCAATAGGTTGTGCTAGTACGCCGAACGATCGCTGAATCAGTTTCAGCCAAACAAGCTCCATGTCTAAGGTAATACAAAGTCTAGTTTTCGTTTGTCTAGAACAGAATCAGGTATGACAAGAAACCTGCTTACAATGTATATTGTCACTAAAATTGTAACCAGACAGAAGGTGTTACTTTAAACAAGTGCACAAAACAGACCTTCTGTTCTACAATCATATAGCAATGGTGTCGGTTTCTTCCGAAAATGAATGAAAGAATGAATAAATCAGTCAATCCACATTTAAATATCTTGTCAAATTAGTCCACGAATACACTTTCTTGATATTTGGCTTGAAACTTGCCAAATTTTAAAAATAAGGGAGTGCGTGTACTGGTATTTGGAAAGTTGTGTAATTGCCTTTAGGATCCTATTTAAAGTAAGTCAACGCTATGTAATGATCAATATCGAAGACAGAATGAAAATCTTCTACGAGTGTTTGTCCTTCAAATTGAATGTATATTTCAACAAACATTTATCAATATTCACTTTGATCTGCACAACATATTTTTCATGGTATGTTATTTAAAGAAATAACCGACAGAAAACACAGACACGCATCACTGAGTGGTGTAATTTGAATTTATTTTTTATAATTATGTCAACCTGCTGGAAACCGTTATCATCAGTAGCAAACGTTTTAATTTTATAAATTACATGAAGATGAATCATTTCTCCTTTTTATGATTTCTTTCAAAAAAAAAAAAAAATTTAGAGCAATCTGACATACAAGTAAGTTGTATTGATACGTTGCTTTCTGTTGTCATTGCTATTTTAGCCTTAACAGCTGTTTCAGATATCGAACTCAGACCTAAAGTTGAAGCATTGGACTCGGCGGAGCAAGAAGGAGGCGGGTGCTCATGTTGATAGCAAAAATGCATTGTAGATATGTTCAAGTTTGAGAAAGTGTTAAAGTTCACTATTAACGAGGCTGAAGTAGGCGTGGCCTCATGACGTCACATTTTGTATGCCATTTTGAACTAGCCAATCCTTGGCGCGGGCTGATGGAGCCTCACAAACGTTCCACGCGATGCTGTGTTGTGTTTGTTTATCTGCGGTCGGTTATGTGATTATTATGCATGTATGTATTGATATTCGGTGAGTTCGTCCTCCTCATATTTTCTTGAATCATTTCAAAGTATCTTTTTTAATCAAGAAAACAAAATAGCAACTTTGTTCTTCAGGATTTCATATACTTCTACATGGTAGCTTTATTTACAGTACTAGTTCTTGAAATGTTTAGAAAAAAAATCGTTAATAAACGCTACACAATATATAACGCATTGAACAGGTTTGCCTTGGAATTAAACTTGTTTATTGTATATGCATTTATATATTTTCCAACCAATGTTTTCCTTAAAAAATGCTTTAATTCACCAGATGAATTACTTTGAAATGCTTTTAGAATATGACTTGAACGAACGAGTGTGGCAGTTTTGTTGAGGTTTACTATGTATCATATGGATATGCAAGTATGTGTTCAGTTTGATCCTCCCTAGAGAGTCTACAGTATCAAAGTGATGTTGCCGCGTTGTGTATTAGCTATCACTGCTTTAAAATGACTATTTCGTTGTATATGCGATTGTGATATATAATATTATGATAGTTTAACTGGTATTTCACTTATATCTGAGGGCGTCCCAAATCAATTTAAATTGCAATTTGGGCTTTAATTAAAAACATGTTTTGGTAGTATTTTTATCTGCAAATTTGAAATACAGATGTAATTTTTTTTGTAATTTTATTTATTAAATAGAAATGACTTGTCATCATATAAACCTGGATAATCTTTTGAAAAGATCATAAAACTATACTTAGGAGCATGAAAATGTCTTTCGGTAATATTTTTCCTGTTTGACCCAATTTATCTTTGGATAAAATGTCTTCATACGAGGTGATCCTGAACCTTTATTTGATGAATTGATCTAACATCCAAAATCCAGGAAGTCTGCCAGCTATGTGATACTGTGTTCTCTAGTCATCACCCTCGATAACCTGTGCTGTGTTACTAGTCTATAGGTGTACATGTATATACCTCCAGGCTTTGATAGAAGGTCGTTTGTATATACATTATATCTATATATAATACATATTGTTATAAATGCTTATTCTAGGTTTTTCTGTATGATCTATATGTATTATTGCATAAAGTTCCACTCCAAGTGTAAGGGAGGGAATAAAGTGCACTATTTTGTTTTCATTTTTCAATAGCTGAAATAGACTCTCATGTTTGTAATTTTTTGCTTATGAATTCTTATAGCGCCTTTTTACCATTTTGTACAATCCCGTGTCAATCAAAGTTATTATGTTTGTCTAAAGCCAAACATTTTTATTAGTTTTTTATTTATATGTTCTCAAAATATGACTTTATATTTTGTAATGTCGTTTTAGTAATATGAGAATGTAATATCGCTTATTCAAGGTAGGGAAAAAGAGCACTCATTGGAAATGGAAATTGGGACAAAGGAAGGGCATTTATTTTCATAATTAGGATTTTTTTTATTTCAGTAAAATTTTAAAATCGTATGTTTGACAAAGCTGTAAGAACCATTGTATTACATGTTTCATAGTAAAACGTTTCCATAACTTTATATTATTTTTCAATTGTTGGCATGTAATGCTTGTATATATGTATAATATACATTTATTATTTGTGAGAAAGAAGCTTTTGCTATTAACGGGTACTTAAACACAGTCTCAGAACAAGGTGGACCTGATAGTATCACTATGTACGCTGTTTTGTCATAATGGTATAATACTCTGATGTTTACACTCCCTAGTCTCAACATTTCAGTACTTACGATACGTGTACTCTCTAACCCTTTCATTGCAATGCAAAATGCACACTATTTGTTACACTAACTGTACTAACAACGTAATACAATTTCATATAGCATCCCTAGTGCTAACAATGTAATACAAAAACATCGTTATACATTTTTCAAAACAACAAAAATGTAATACAATGTTATAAATAATATCTAGCGCTAAAAATAATACCTGTTACTAACAGTGTAATACAATATCATAAAAAATCTCTAGAACCTACAATGTAATACATTGTTACAAATAAAACCTAACACAAACAATGTAATACATTGTTATGAATATTCCCTCTAACAATATAATACCATGCTACAAATACTCTATATCCTTTACAGATTAATACAATGATATATATATTACATTATCCTACCATGCAATATATCAATATATCAATTCCCTCTGCAATATTTTAGACTCGCTAATTCTATCCGTTTATATTTCTAATACTATAATGCATATATGTACACTCTCTGAAAATATATAATTACAGTGTAAAGTTATGTATATAAACCATATTTCACTGTCTAAGTATACTTATTGAATGTTCTTAATGTTGTTGAAGACTTTTGTATCAAAAAGAATTACGTAACTTGTCAATAAAAAATGTTTGACCACAAACAGCTGACGTTACATTGGGAAAACAAAATTTTGATTCATGTCACTTTCAATTAGAAACAAATCTGCTGAGAAAACATCTATTTTCAGCCTCTTTTTCCATAAGTTGGGTAATTAGTTGAAAACGAGACGTCAACTTGCGACATTTGAAAACAGCGAAATCTCCTCTTTCAGTTTTTCAAACTACGGAAGTTTTAGAAATAATATTTACATATTTCAATATTATTATAAGATATCGAGTGGCGTGAAATTCTTTCGATTATTCAGATATTTTACATCCCATCTCCATGTTCTAATGTTAGCTGATATACGACTACGCCATGTGAGGTTACCTTTTGAAGCCAATGTTTAAGAAGTCAGTGGTTAGGACAGCTTATAAAATAACACTTATTTCGTTGTCTCGTTTGTGTTTTGACTTTCAGGAAAATGTCTGTTGGATGTTTTCTTTAGTAACATTTTTTCTACACCAGTAAATATAATGGCTCTTCATCTATAAGATATGTAATCATTGTGTTAACCGTTGTTCTTGGAGTTAAGTTTCAATATAGAATACCAATTATATAACCACTGATTTACAATAGATACAGTGTACCCATCTACTTCATGAATTCACGTAAACCCCAGTAATAAAGACATTGAATGTACCTGTTGGTGTATTGAAGCAAAACTGAAGTAAGAGCTGAGATAGTTATTGAAAATATAAAGATATGGACCAGATCTCTGCTGTGAACAATGGTTGCCATCTGTCATTTCAAAACGGAGAAACAAATGATACTCTTTATAATTATTTACAAGGTCGTAGTAGAGGATAATAGATAATTTCATTAGCTGTTATTGTAATAGATAGATGGCATATCACGATAGGAGCGTTATAAATGAGTTACTGAGGATACGGATTATTCACTAAACTGATACGTGTAATTGCATTGGTTTCGTTAGAATATGGTCATTTCGGTCACTTTACGAACGGTATGAAAGTTGTCGCAGAGTTAGTTAGCTATCGGCAATCAGTAATTTCTTCCACGTCGGCTCAAAGTACGACATACTTTTTTGTATACGTATAAGATGCTTTAACAATAGATTAATTAAGTGATGTTTCATGTCACCGTATGATACCTTATAGTGATATAATACATTAACAATCTGCTTGTTTTATGCAACTTTTTTTCTATAATTCTTTTAGATATCTCGTTTCATAACAATAATATAACAGCGGTGTTGATATTCCGATTCATCAGAACGTTTAAATCATCAAGAATCAGTACAGCATGTGTTAATCAGGGGATGTCCGCAGAAAAGGTAATCTTCATTCTACTAACATTTTTTTTCTAAACTTTGATGGGTATAGGTAAAAACAATATCATTTGTTCTTGGTCTTGATTCAACTATCATCAAATACATACGAGTAAATCAAGAAACGTTTCATAAAATTGATATATCATTCTGTTGTTTATTTCCGATTCTCCTTACAGTGTCGCCTTTGTGCTTTTTGCAGTGCTTTTTACCCCGTCAGAAGTCTTAAATGCTCAGTGCAATTATAAATTATTAGATAAATATTTTTCTTCCTTTTGTTGAATTCACTTTTGTGAATTTCGTGTGAATATGTACTTACCAACTAGTCCATGTATAAGATAATAGTGTTTATTATGTTATGAATGCCATACAGCAATATTTATGCATTAGTCCACATAAATGTTTGTTCTATAAGAAGCTGGCCAGGGAAAACGTGTCAATTATATTTTGATTTTACAATATTGTGACGTCTTCTCATCACCGTTTTAATTCAAATGATGAAATGTTGACGATTCGTTGTCATTACCTACAGTCGTTCGTTACTTACTGATGGAAGAAAACGTACAGCATTGTTAAAAGTTAAATAACATTCATACCAGTTACTATATACATTAAGTCCTAGTTTATACTACTGCTATTTTTGCTTTTTCAGTTTTAAGTCATAGATAAGTCATTTTTTCCGTAAATGTTCAGGATATATTTTATAGCTTTTGTAATTCAAACCCATGTATACCTTTAACGCATTTTCAGTTGTAAACTAGATAGTTCTGTACAGCGTTATGTGATAACGAGAACCTCATTATTACGGACAGTACATTCAAGTGGTTGTACACAAGCTTCCTAACTCATCCGAGACACAAGTGTTTGTCCATATGTAAGATCAACTATTGATTGATGAATTTTAATACAAGAAAGTCGGTCTCCAGTGATGTTTTCCTTCCCTGTTAATTCCGGACCAATCAATCGTCCAATGTATTCTGTCCGTACTAACGAGGTTCTTTGTGACGCCCATTCTGCGGCTTTAATATCCTCCAAATACTCTTTTTCGTTCACATGAACAGCTTTAAGTCAGAGCTCCTTTTGGTCCACGTTTGTAAGTAATTATATCTCAATAAAGACATTAGAAACACAGATACTAGTGATTTGTATATTCATTAACATCCTCATGTGTTAGATTTGTGGTAACGTTCAATACAGAAAGTCCTTATTATAAAACAGTATAGGACAAGGCATGACGGTACTCATATTTATCGACAAATTACAATTGTTTGTACGTGGTAAAATACAGTACCTTGGCATGTTTTTGAATCTGCGCACTTTATTCTGTTTGCGATGAATTGAGAATCATTAAAACCGATTCTGATTGTCCCCATGTTGATAACAAACCAACAAACATTAACAATTACATATTTTTATTATCTTGGTTAATGAAAGACACGTCTTTCGCTGATGTAGTTGTGTGATTACAGCAGCACTTAAATGGTTTTTACGCATATTGATCTAACCTAATTAAGATAACATTCACCCAGGAAGAGTAATTTCCAAATAGACGCATTTTAAACTCTGTTCCATTATCGTTTCCTGTTTTACTGTTCCTTTTCAGTGTCTAGCAGGACGTCATGAAGTGGATCAGATATTGTTCAGGAAATGTGATTCCTAAGGATAGGATCACATAGCCACATATTAGTTGGCGAACTGTCGGCCTACGCTTCCTTAGGTGACGATCCGGGGAGTGTAGTTCCCTTAGTTTGCGTTTCAGAAGCGGACAGGTCTGTATTGTCGTTGTTGTGTCATTTGGGACGACACTTTACCCAAAATTATCTGAATGACATGGGACAGGTCTGACGTGCGTTGTTTACTGAGGTAACGTAGCTGTCAGCAACAACAAGGAGCCTCTGCTTCAAAACCAGAAACGAACAAACAAATATATGTGGATTTAACAATGAACATGACTGATATCATACAGTTGTAATTAGTATAATGTGCCACTTGTGTTGGCATCACTATTGGTACTTTAACAGAGAAGTCCTGTCCCTGTTGTAGTCTCCTTGCCGATGTCCATCTGATGGTTTGGTATCTGTAGAGTTATACTTTCTGTGGTTCTTCAGGTATTCCGGGTACTGATGAAATATATTGGTTGCATTACGATAGTTTCTTGGTCCTGTTAGTCGGAAGTCCATCTTTTATTTTCTGAATTGACAAATTCGTACACTTTTTTTAGACATGTTGCGGTAAATGCAATACATATCTGTAAACAACACAATCAACTAAATTCTTCTAAATGTAATTTAGAAAAAAAAATAGATGCGTAAGAGACAAACGCATGTTGAAAGCTTCTCTCAATGTGCCTTAAGAAATGGTTCAATACATTAGCATATTCGGAATAATGGATACCCCTCAATGTTTAGTTTAATTTAATGTACCAATATTAACGCTTATTTATTCAATATTTATTTATACACTCGTTATACTTACTGATCTTGTTGATACAACATAGTGTGATGGTAAAAAGGATGCCCAGCCCCACCACTGACGGCACGATGATGACCCTAGATAAAGCAGGGAATTATATAACCACGTGTTATTTTACGCTTTGAGTATGTTTATATCATCTGAAATAATTTTATATTATATTGTGCTGACCAGGCGAAGTAGTATTTATCTGGCAAAAAGAACTGGACAACTTCAACGCAATGGCGTACTCTGCTCTCAAAATTGAATACTATTTTTATGTTTACAAGACTAATATTTTATAATTCACGAGAAAGGTTTCTGGTTGGACAAGGAAAGGTAACCGTAGTCAACTAGAAATTTCAATTCTTACCAGTACGACAGACAGGAATCATTGGCACAGACGAAGTTTTTCGGGCAACAGTAAGTTGTACAACATATCTCCGTCACAGGACAGAAATCAGGCTCTCCGTTAAGGATACACGCTTCAGGTTCCACTGCTGTAAAAGGTCATTATACGTGTAATCATCATCATCATCATCATCATCATCATTAGTGAAAAAAGACAACAATTACATAGCAACACGTGAAAATATGGTGACAAATAAGAATGCGACCAGGTATTTCGGAAGATTAAGCGTCATCTGCTCCACCAACGACATCTGCCATGTAAATCTTGTTCAATCGAAGTAAGTAATGCCATTTTCCCGAATGAGAACAAGATATACCACAAAGGAACCAACAGAATTTTTTCAATGAGATCAATATAACCATCGTAAAACTTCCCCATTCTCATCAACCTACATCCCTCATAACCCCATGTTGTGAGTTTGTCAGTTATCTTGCACGTTGTCGGCGTCATGGGAACATGCCATTGAAGATCATATCAACTGCGACATGTAACCAAAATTCGTAGGAGGTGCAGGGGTGTTGCTATCAAGAAATTTTACAATAGGAAAGTTGAAAGCAGCATGCTTATCGAACATCTTGGTGGAAAGCTGTCCATGTTTGTTTCGTTACAGGAAAAGATCGAAATAAAATTTAAAAAAAAAGAATACATTGTATGTAGTGTCCTTGATCTCCATTTCTGTCTTTTGTCTTTTTCGATGGTAATTTTCGCAGTTTAAAAAAAACCTCGTCATGAAAGTCTTAAAACGGAATATAATTTCTATTAGTTTTGTCAAAGAAGCTACTTTTCCGCGATTTCTGCTATCTTTGAAAACAAAGAAAAACATCCTCAATAATTACGACCTTTACTGTATGTCAGTCTTGGCTTATACATATTCATTGAAACAATAATAGATTTCTGACTCAAAATCAATGCGTGTTATTTCGTGGTTCTGACCACGTTACAACTATAGTGATGGTAAAACTACCTATAACCAATATAAATTATGACATCGAAACAGTATACACTTAGTAAAATATACAGAAATGTAAAATTAATCAAAGATATTTGTCACAACAATAAAAAATAACATTCGTGTTGGAAATTCCTCATGAACTACAACCAACTATCGAATTCTAATTAAATCAGAGAACACACATCGTCTTATAAAATACAATTAAAAAGACTGATACAAAGTATAGATGTGAATATTCAATTCGTGTAGCTAATGTTTCGGTATCTTCACTTGTGATATGCACACGTGAAAGATACCAATTTATTAGCAGCATTCGTGAAATGTACATTTGTCATTATTCAAGACTAAATATCCCCTATTTAAAACTGTTTTCGTTTATGTGTCTGCTAACTTATACACAGGCTTAAGTAACGAGGAGTCATTAAATAAACAGGTGTTAATCCTATCGTTCATCAGCTTATGACAAGACTTGATATGTGTACTATAAATTCAGACAATACCTATTCTCCTATGTATAGGTTTGTTAATACCAGTCAACTTTAAACAATGTTTAAAGATAGACAGAAACGTCAGGTTAGCAGTGACATTGAAATACTGATACACGGTGTTTATTGCTTCATGCCATCCTAGAACTAGGTTTTTAAAACAAGCATACATACTATTTTCTTATGGTTTTCTTGTTTCTTCTTAAATATGAACTCACATAAGGATACTGATATCTAAGTAATGCGCAACTTAATCTCCGAATCATATAGACATATTTTTCTTTGTGTTTCTCCTTTAATGATTTCTACTGACATTACAGTATTTTCGACGAAAGGAAATGTTGGAGCTGTCTTTATTTTCTTTTTATGAGATATAAGATAAAAAATAATTGTAGAAATGTATAGAGATAAATTTTGTGATATGTTAGAAAATCGATAGACGGGGTTGGGCAATTAGCAGCAGGTTCCTTTCCATTAAAATAAGCATTAGTTATTTGTACGTGTCAAACATTTTTGGAAGATAATTAACTAAATTTATCAGCATTGGTATGGCCAATACATACATTATTTGTCACCAAATACAATAGATCGATTATATATCGTTACAGATATACACATAATTTTTAACACCTGCAACATCCCGGGGAAGCTCTCTTCCAAAAACAGAAAAATTATCGGCTATAATATCTACTTCAAAATTAAACCCCACAAGAAAACATGTGTTCCTACCATTTTCTATTAGGTTATAATCTTAAATCACAAACGCACTGTGAACGTTCTATTACAATTCTATTTTCATACGTCAAATGTGACTTTGTTTCCCAGTATCAAGATATTTATTTTCCTCTAATTGAGATTTTCTTGATAGAAAATTTTAGAGGAATCAAGTTTATGAAGACTCGGAGGAAATTTTATCTCTGCCATAATTTTTTAATTATTTACAAGACAAAATGCCTGGTTTCTCTGTCATAAACTGGTTCACACTCGAGGAAAAGCCTGAAAGCGTCAAAAATATTCTCCAAATTGTGAATTGATCAAATATATCACATGTAAAATGATAAGAAAAGCATGTGGAGATGATAGAAAATAACGTTATAGCAGATATGTGACAACTTTGAGGCATAGTAACTGAGGATATTTTGATATTAATGTTCACAATGTGTACAGATCTCCAATGTACATTAACTAAAGAATTGAGATGAAATAAATAATGGTTACGAAAGACAAATGTGGCGAATGTCAGACTATTTTCTACCCCCAGCCAAAAAAACAAGAAGAAATTACCAACATGTCAACATTATCATACACGAAGATTCATGAAAAAAGTACTTCGAAAATAAAACCGTTTGTTTCAGAAGTATAAGCGTCTTCTGCTTCATCGGCGACACCCGATGTGTAAACTTTGGTCAATCCAAGCAAGTAATGTCACGTTCTCAAATGAGAACAAGGTATACAACAACGGAACCAACAGACAAACTATCGAGCATCAAACATGTCCAGCTTCATATCACCCCAATAAATAGAATATTTCCAACTGAGGTCACTATGACGACCCCTAATATGCAACTTATACCTTAAGTAACTAACCATGTATTTTATTTATCTTGCAATATTGATTGAAAATTTAGACTATCGGAACTCCAACAGTTTTATCGTCAAATCTTTGTTTATCCGACCTTAACGTTATTCTGAATTTTGCCTGATGAATTACGCAAAAAATATTTCTTCACGCGAAAATGTAGGTCCAAACTTTTGACGTACATGTATATCATAGCAATTCCATGACATTTCGTAAATAGCAACGTATATAACTGCTTATTTCAAACGTATATCTTTAAAAGGATATTTAAATAAGTCAAGAAGGAATTCTGTCGAATTAATGCACATGCTACAATACAGCTGTTTTCCGTCACTGCTGTAACAGCAAAATATACGTGGCAGGTGTATCACAACAATGGCAGCGCCATTTGGAGGATGAATTAATATTAAACATCATAAAAACATGACTAAATATTGTATAAACACATCATGAGTTTATCACCATAGAGAATTTACTTACGTTCAGCTGACACGAATATTGCCTTCTGTAACAGAATCACTTGTACAAGTAACGTCCACACAGGATACATAGATATTGTGGCTTTGTCTCAGTGGTATGGTGTATGTCACACTTCTGTCATACATAGGATATATATATCAGGTTAATCATGGCTCTTACATCAGATATCTACATCTACCCTTCTGTCTAGCTTTAAAAAATCTGGCAGATTAAATAAATGAAAAGATGTCGAGGGAAAAACTACGAATATTTTTTCAAAAATATTTTTATCAAGGTGAATATTTTGATCGCAGGGACTGAAAATTTCATTTAAATATTTGATAGTATTGAAAAAAACTTATCGATTTAACGTTAGGATTACCATAAACATAAGTTGAAACAGCTGATCCGTGGGTACAGGTATATATAGAACACCTGATAATGACGTACATAGTTTTTTTTTTGTAATCAGCAAAAACAAAGATGTTCAGTCAGGTTTATAGATTGGACATGATAAGTTCATTCTTAAATTAAACGCTGTATTGATGACCTATAGATTAAATAAAGATCCCCGTGCATGTTCTGATTTATCTCATAACTTAGAATAAACATTTCATAAAAGGACAATATTTCTACAGTAGGTGAGCCAGTTATATGATTTGTGATGTTATCAGGTTTTTTTTACTGCTGGTGTAATGTAAGACTTCAAGTTCTGGTTTACAATCTCGGCCTTTGTCTACAGTTAAATCGAAAATATCTGTAGTGCAATGTATAAAGAGGAGTGTCAATAAATACGTACATACATCTAAGATAATCATAACTAAACAGCTTAACACAACTTCCTTTACTTACACTCAAAAAGATTTTAGTCTTTTAAAATTGAACCTGTAAAAGAAGAAAGAGAGTTTCATTAGCCCTTCACCGCAGAATTTGATAACATATTCCTGAATGTCTCAGTGTGTTTCATAACCGTAAGTTATCCGGGTGTAAACTGCAGGTGCAAAATACAAAAACGCTCTCTTAGTCAGAAAATCGATTTACAATGAATTAGCCCCAAGTCTGGAAGACAATAGGAGTGGTATGTAAAGATTGTGATAATATTCCAGATGTACTCACGGGAGGCATTTTACAGCATGACTATATACTGTGGTATGTAAAGTTTGTGACAATAAGTCTGATGTAACCACGGGAGACATATTATAGCAAGACTTTATACTGTGGTATATAAAGTTTGTGACAATAAGTCTGATGTACTCACGGGAGACATATTATATAGCAAGACTTTATACTGTGGTATATAAAGTTTGTGACAATAAGTCTGATGTACTCACGGGAGACATATTATAGCAAGACTTTATACTGTGGTATATAAAGTTTGTGACAATAAGCCTGATGTACTCACGGGAGGCATTTTACAGCATGACTAATTACTGTGATATGTTAAGTTTGTGACAATAAGTCTGATGTACTCACGGGAGGCATTTTACAACATGACTAATTACTGTGATATGTTAAGTTTGTGACAATAAGTCTGATGTACTCAAAGGAGGCATTTTACTGCATGACTATATACTACTACATTTTAAACAACACTGTGTCAAACACTTTCCTTCATTTGGTCATCAGAAACACTTGTTAAAGTACACATTAGTTATTGGAGTGACATTTTTACATGATAATAGTTGCAGCAATACAAATTTTCCAAACTTTCTGTATGTTAGGGGTTTAGAACGTCTCCAAATTGACCAAACTACTGGAACTTGAGCAAACATGAGTGAAAGAAAGATTAAAGGTGAACATCAGTCTTCTGGTTGACTAGAGAATTCCTGTTTGTACTTCACGATATTAAGAAAACTTCTTATCACATGTAAACATATAATATATTTTGCTGTGTGTGCTATATGCAACTTGACATAAAGGATATTTGAAGAAGAAATTAAATGAAGATTTTAAGGAAGTGTTTTCTAGAAGTCATAGTGTTGTTATTGAAAATAGTATTCAATTTCAGTCTGTAATGTGAAGTTGACACAGTCCCTTGTATGTCTAATATATCCATTTTTACTGCCCCAATTCTTATTTTAAGAACTTGATATTAATTGGAACTGACCAAGAATCAGAAGAGGTTTACTCCTTATCATTATTACATGTCCCTGCTCTTCCATCATACAAGACTGCAATTTTCTTGTATATATTCAATTGTTTCCCTGTAAACGTTATTTAGCTATGTTAATTTGTATCTTTGGTTCTGTTCTGTTTATTATGAAACGTTCATTAATATCTTCAAACACAATTTTCACTATGAAATTGGATACGGTACTCAGCGAAATACAATTGAATATGGACACATGCAATCATTCCTGAATTCAAAGTCATTTCTAATCTAAATAACAATAATAATAATAGCCTTTATTTATCGTCGTGTACAGGTTAACAACAAACATAAGCTCTGTTGAGCTTTTATTACGACGCCACTGCGGGAACAAATGTTGTTTCAACGGTGGAGGAAAACCCACGGTGGGAAAACCGCCGTGCCATCGGAGGGATAACAACTAACCCTATAAAACATCACTCTCTAATCCACCACCGCTGGGGATCAAACCGAAATTCTTGGGAGAGTGAGTGGTCTGAAGCTCACGCTTGCACACAGTATTAATGACTGGGCATTAGCGATCACGGCTACCGAGGCATAAAGTTTTCATAAAGTTTATGAAATCATGTAAATGCAAATATCTCTAGAGAGATGATTTTGCAAAATCTAAGTGTTTTACAAAAATAGATAAAGTAAAAGAAAACCATGACAACTTATGTAAAAAAGAAATAAGTTTATTCTGACATCAAAATAGTAGAATGAACACTGTATTCGACCCAGTAACTACTTTATAATGATGTCTACAACAATGACATTTTTCAGCTGATAACTTCAGTATCAAACTCGATGAAAAAGCAATGCTAGTTCTACATTATCATACTAATGCATGTCTAACTTCAATATTAGCATCAAATTGTATTGCAGTATATTGTACTACCTTATCTAGTCAATGCATTCTATTCTAGAACAATCAAAATTTAGACAATATTACTTGAGGAAGAAAATAATAAATAAAGCCAAAAATAAAGAGGGTCAGATCTCAATAAAGAGCCAGACAGTATTTTATAACACACATCTAATATAACTTTACTTTTTCACAGACGGATGAAAGGAGCTTTAGGTACTAGGTCGAATGCAATACACATATAATGTATATATAATATATAATATACATAACGTATATAATATATATATTTCAGCAAATCATGAACACATCAAATACATTTTTATCAAACAACAGACAACATGATATAGTCACATTGTTACTGGTCAACCATGGACTTGTCAACTAAAAACAACAAACTTTTATACACCTGACCCCTAGAATCTGGCCAAATTATTGACCACTTGAATCAAGCCAGATAAGCGGCTGCTAGAATCTGACCAGGTAACTGACCACTGCAATCCTGCCAGATTACCAACCACCATATGTACTAGAATCCAGCCAAATGACTGACTCCTAGAATTTCGGCCAAATAATTATAACTGTATGACTACTGGAATCTGGTCAGATTACTAACCACCATATACATTAGAAACCGGGCAGAGTACTCACTGACAGAATCTGGACAGATAACTGACCGCTGGAATCTGGCCAAATTACCAACCACCATATGCACTTGAATCTGGCCAGATAACTGACTGTTAGATCACCAGATTGCTGACCACTAGGATCTGGACAGGGATGTCAAAATATGTATACACAATTTCATATCACCAGTAAGCTTTTTGCGACAACAGACATGTATTTATGTTTTATGATTAAACATGCAACCAGTATGATGTTATTTTTATTACGAGTATTAAAACCAATGAAAAACAAGCTTCGTGCTATGTCTCTGTTTTTTTATATTTCTATATCACTAGGAGCAAAGACTGCAAAAACAATTGATATTATGCATAAAAAAAAAAAAACAAAACAACAGAATTCTACTTATAAATGCATGATACCTGGAATTAAGACTTGATCCAATGACACTATGTTACAGAGAACAAAAAGTTTAACTATTTCATTATCTCTAGCTTGTAGTGACTGATATTCATTTGGAGCTAGCCATCGAAAACCATAAAACAAAATAACTTAAAAAGTGATAGATGTATAGAACTGCAAGCCACAGGAGAAGTACTCCAGGGAAATGTGATGTGACTGTTAACTGTTATCATTACAAGTTCTGCAAATGATGTAAAACAATAGAATTGTTAAACAGATTGAAGTGTACACCAACAGTATGTATAAATGTATTCTTACACATGTATAGTTGATGTCAGCTTCTGTTTCATGTATTAATTAAAGTTTCCTTACGTCTTACTCAGTAAGAAGCTAGTTTGGTTTTAATGACATTTTCCACATGTTTCAACACGACAATGAGAGCTAAAAATTACATGTACAAGAGAATGACTAGGTTGGTACACTTTATATAAATACTGTTTGTATCCATTAACAGGGACAAACTTTTGTCACGCTACAGACAAAATGGCCCCCAATTTTTAAGTAAAGAAGTAGTACAATGAATTTACTCATATCTGATGTTTCACATCTGTTGAAATTAAGAGGTCAAGAGTAAACTTTTGAACCAAATGTCATACCATCAGTAGAGAGTTCCAACTAAGGGAGATAAATTTCCAAGTTTTCACAACAATACTGTAAGTTAGAACTTTTCCCCTACATGAGTGAAGCAGTTTACTTTTAATAATCTGTATATCAGTTTAAACACAGCAATAGTATATACCAGCCAAAAAACAATTTATAGACTTAATTTTCTAAATCTAAAAGTTGGTCAATATGTCTTTGAGACTTTCATGTTTGGTATACATATAAGTACACTTTTAGTTGTACAATGTACAAACATAAACTGGAAATATCAATGTTTTAAAATATTGTAGATTCTTCAGACTACTGTCAGTGTTCAGTGGAAGTACAACTTCATTACAGCAATGATCAGCATAACATTATCACAGACTTGAATATAACTTTGTCAGCACTGACATTATGATTACATATAAACAAACCCGGGAAAACAATTTGGTGTAGTAAAACAGGATTACGATGAAAAAAAAATCACTTAGTGACTTAGAAGGTTTTAACATAAAAATTCAGTTAAGTCAAAGAAAACTGCAACTGAAAATTCATTGTGTAATAATGGAGATTATAACTGTGTAGTCAAAGAAAATTACAACAGAAAAATTTACCATGTAGTCAAAAAGGATTATAACAGGACTATTCAATGTATAGTAAAAAAAGTGTTTAAGAAAAATATACTGTGATTTTATGATACTGAGTTTGTTTGTTTTTTTTTGCCAAAAACTTCTGATTCATACTAAATTGTCAAGCTTGCACTCAATTTGGATGCAACAAACTTTGCTGTCTGCTAAATAACGTTGTACAATTATACATGATTATTACAGATCTACACACTGTCCTAAATATGTCTATTCCTTAAATTTCAAATTTGTAAACTTACCAAACTAAAGGTCAAACAAAGAAAAAATATTCATATATGTTTTACAAGATGATAGAAATGCTTATCAACTGTACATAATTTTATCAAATCACAATGACATTCAAAAACATTTCTTTGTCATGAAGAAATTTTGTTATTGATGTGTGGTAACCAATACAAGGATAACAAATCCATTTGATTTGAATATGAAATTCCACAACAACACATTACATGCATATTACCTCATATCAGTATGCAGTATCTACCTAATACTGAATATTGATTGGTTCACTCAAAACCAGTACATGAAGAGCATGGATAATGTAACAAACCAATAAACAATAATTAAAAAACAGAAATTTAGGTTTTGATATTTTTCTATATTTTAGATCGTATGAACTGCAACCATTTTCATCAAAGTTTGTTATGAAGAACAAATTATGATCACAACAAAGTGATTTCTGTGGTCCCTTGCGATTCATTATAACCAAGTTTTACTCAACATTCTGTATTCATCAAACTCCACACACGAATTAGTGACCAAAGCTGCTTAATGAAATATTCTAAGATTTCCATAATTTGGCAATTTTTATATTTGACATGTATTTCACATAATTGTGACACTTTGAAGAAACATGACTTATAAAGCAACACCCAAGAAATGTCTCAAAAGAACAATAATGCTTGTTAAATGCACGAAAAAAATGCTGCTTGTGAAATGCTTTGATGAATGCACATATACCATCAATTGTTCAATAGAACATACAGAATTGGTATACAAATGTATGAGAAATATGAAATATTTCAACTGAATCTTATTTGCTAAAATATTATTTATTTTAGGATCTTTAAGTAGATGAGAAATTTGATGTTTTATGCTTGTTTATTGCTTATTGTTGCTTTAAGTCTTATTAACAGCTGAGGTCATTTAAGGTTGCATAAGGTTTGGGTGGTGAAGGAAAGTCGGAGTTCCTGGTGGAAAACCACTGACCTGCAGCCAGGTGACTGGTTCACGTAGGCCTTGAACCTGCTACCCAGAGGTAGTGATAAAAAAGATCAAACACCTTGACCACTCGGCCATCATGGCCCCCTTGTGCTGTTATGAACTGACGCTAGCATATTTCATGAAACCCAATACATTGTAACATCTTATGTAGAAACAATGTTGACAACAAGGATAACAACAGCAGTGTCATTCCATTTTCCCCCATCTTCCATCACTTCATTTAGCCATTGAATGTTCCATGTATTTTTTGTAAATAGCCAACTAAAAACATTTTGTTAACTTGTGTTCATTTTTGATACTGTACTAATTTAGGTGTAAAGCTGCCACTTATTTCTAATAAAAGGAGATGAATTTAATATAAAGAACTTCATTTCTTACTCTGACCTATGGCACCTGAGTGAAAGGCACCCACACTCAAAATCACTTGAAACGCAAACCATTTTCAATAAAGAGAGAGGAAATTATTCACGTCTGGAGGAAGGTTATCCACCAATTAACTAGTGTCTTTGGCATAAAGCTGATTGGATGTCCCCATGGAAAATATTTACTGCCCTGACTAACAACCTCAGCAGTTTATACAGAGTCAAAAGTTCAAGATTAAAAACTCAAAAATTGATCTTTTGAATTAAGGTATTGTGATAAAGTTAATACTGTGAATTCATACTTCTAATTAAAACAAAAACGTATAAAAACAAGAAAATTATTCCAGAGCATGAAAATCAGCAAATAGTACGAACTCAGCACAAAAATAAAGACAATATTTGCTGATTTAAATCAATCCCTGTAGGAATCTCTCTGCGTTAGTCGGCAGAGAGGGTGTTAGGAGAAATCACGCATTTGGTTCTCGGAGATGGTCATCCATATCGCCAACAACTCCACTCTCACAGCTCTCGATCCATGAGTCACTACGGTAAATGTCCTTATTTGGGTTGTTGACATGGTGTTCCTTCCAACAGTCATTAGCATTTGACACCAAAAACATAAATACTCTTGGAAGTCTGCTTGTCTTTTTCAAATATAACAACACAACTCTTATAAAAATATGGCAAATTAGCATCAAGCAAGCATAAGCAAACAGTATGTAACAGGTGTTGAACAGAAGTTGGCGAAGAATGCTGACCAAGGGGAATAACTCTGCATGGAGGTATGCCATAAACTTTTCATCATTGAAATCTGTAAATAAAAAATGGAATATCAGATTACAGTTGAAACTTAAAGTACATCAATTTCATTAATTGAATTAATAGTAAGTAGAGCGCGATTTAGAGAAATGTTTCCACTTGTGTAGTGTAACCTCATTTTCTGTGTTACAAATGTGGAGTAATGTTTTCATCAAAAAGGGGAAGTTTGAGTAAAAATGTTAGATACAAAGTATATGTCTGATTTAGGTATATATAACAATATTTATTTTGAGTACAGATCATATTTATCAAAAAAGTATTACAAATTTATCCTGTTTCACACAAGATGCCTATATCTAATTACCTTTGAAGTACTCAACACTGACAGGGAGGAAGTTACAGCCCAGTAGGGTGTCAGCCAGATGGACATCAGGGAAAGGCGTGGCACAAAGTGTATAGTTGGTCGTACACAGCTGACTCAGAACGGACTGAAGGGCGGTTTTCTGTAATGGATGTTTAAATTGTGACAATTTCTTTTATTGTTTTCTAAGGCTTACTTTCTATAATTTACAATATTATACAAGGCATTCATCCTGAAAAATTAAATTATTCATATATATTGCTCAACATTCTTTTTTAGTAATGCTTCGATCAAATATAGGTATACCTACAAATGTATACTGATGATTCAAGAATTTTTGTTGAGCAAATTTTCTTCTGTTTCTTTCCAATATCAGCAACATTTTATGCTAATAACCAGATACTAATGGGTAAATATATTTCAGCACTCTTCAGCAAATTCTAGCTTCATAATTCTAAGAACTTCTTACTCAAAATTCTTATGGACTAGAGACTTTCATGTAAAATTGAAATCTACTAAATAAAAATTCCTTTGCAAAAATTTGTTTTCTTGAGAGTGAGATGTCTGTGTAAAACAAATTATCCATTAAATAGCCTTTGCGAAGTTCCTACCTGTTGACTAGCAATATCCTTCAATAGGTTATTCCCAAATTTCACCTCGAGGTCAACCACAGACTGAAAGTCCTGAATGAATTCATTAGTGTACAAATGTAAGTCTGACAACAAGTTGTTTGTCACCTCGATCTGTCTATGAAACTGAGGCAAGGTTGACCTAGTATCCATGAGGAAGGTGGCTGTCTCCAAGGTCACTAGGTCATTTGAGGCTTTTATAAGAATGCAGATTATCAACACAAATGATCCTACTAAAACAAATCTCCAGAGAATGGGTGAAATGAGATGTTTATACAAAAGCTTCAGTAGTCTTATCAAACTATACACAAAGAAGCACTCCTCCTCGTTTGCAGTTGTACCCGTCTGCTTTTGGCGCTTTTTGTGATTCCAAATTTCCAGTAAAATATCCTCTTTAGACTTGGGTGATGCTCTACAGAATTTAAGATATAGATCATTTTTTCCATTCCAGATATCCTCTTTGTTTTCTATGTAGTAATGGTATGGATTATCCAGTGGGTCATAGGGATGATTGGATTCGTGACCCGTCAACATAAAATGAATTTTTTTCGCAACTGAATCCGTTGGAATTTTTTCTTCTGCTCCAAGTTTCGCTTTCTGAAACATCTGACGTAGCCATGTAACTCTGTATAAAATCAGAAATATATCCATGATGATGAAAACGCAGATAAAAACGGGGAGGAGAACACCCTTCATACCAGACATAAGACTAGCTTTAGAAGCGACATGCTTATCCATAGGTGTATATATGTTCCCACTACTGTTCACAGATTTCGTTCCTCTCCCTCCTTGGTAGAAAGTTTGCTGACGAAGAACAATATGTTTCTGGTAGACTTGAGATTTGATGGTTGTCCAATCAGAGGCTGACTTGGTAATTACCCCAACATCTTTATCCAGTGGAATGTCTATTTCTACATCTGGTAAGGAACGCTGCAACCTATAACAACAAAATCATTAGGATTAGGTATATGCTCTGTCAAATAAAACGTTAAAAAACATTTTTTTTGTTTATTTTTCAAATTGTATAATAAAGGATCGTAACAGGTCTTTAAAATTTTACATGTAACTTATTGCATAAGTTTTTTTAAACATTTTAAATTTTAATTTATAACAAAAATTTTCCTCGCTGATTCTATCAGTAACTAAAATACAATCCCATCCTAACCACCACTGTAGAGGTTCTAATTATATTGTCCACATTATTATCCAATTTAAATAGAAATTTCTGGGTGAGCACTATGGTGAGTTACTATGGATATCGTAATCTGTGTTGTTTGCCAACATGATATATATACGTATCAGTAATGACCTATCTTGGAATTTTGGGAAGAATTTTTGGTTTTATTGACTTAGGGAGAGAAAACTTTTAGATCCCTCATCAAGATCTGTCTGAGAAAACAATATGTTTGGTAAAGAGTAAGGAAATACTACAGTTGGTGGATGGTGATGTTAGGTTTGCAATTAAAGTGACAGAAAATATCAACTGACTAACATGTGTTTATAATTAATCCAAGGACACACAGTATGGAATCTAGTATACGACTGATATATTGTGAGTTGTTTAAGTAAAGAAAATCTCTCAACGAAAACAATATAAGCTAAATGCTGAAAGAAGGGGTATGAAGATAATTACAGTCAACAGTTTAAAATCCAGAAAGATTATACACGGACATCTTTTTCTCTGAAATAGGATGAGGAATTGATCAGAATTTTATGAGTCGTTACCTGGCAATAAGGCGTTCCTTGACCTCGAGGACACTTGTGATCTTCTCGACCTCCAGCCATTCTAGAAACTCCGTGACATCTTCTGTCAGAGAAAGGCGAGTATCGAATATACCCTCCTGGTCCATAAACAAAGTTCGTGGATTATTCAGCCAGGCAACATTAGTTACATCCCGAAGGAAGTCAATATATTTGTCTAAAAAGGATTCAAAATATGTCTGTATAGCTTGGTTACAGCTTTCAAAATAAACATCTATTTTCACACGGACGGTTTTTGATCGTTCTTCCAATATCCCGACAAGTAAGTGGTGGAGGGTTCCATTCTGGCTATATAGCTTGGTGATATCTTTTTCAATACTGTTGTAAACATCATGAAATATCTTCTCTGCATTTTCTTTTAAATGATGAGAGCAGGCCTGAAGTCGATCATGTGTCTGGTTAAACATTCTGGCAACTTGCTGGGTCTCAAAATCTTCCATTTCGTGAAAGTGTTTGCCAACAGCCTCTTGAATTTTGGCGCTCGTGTTGGAAACAATGGTCAAATTGCTTACTAGGGGGCTCTGTACCATGTAGAACACGAGCAGCAACATGGAAAATGTGAACATGAGGGCATAGAGGGCATAGAGAACGACCAGTACAATCATAACTACCTTGGAAATTGTCCGCCCCTGAACATCAGGATTACCGTCAGGTTTCATTCTGTCCTCTTCACGAGGCACAATCAAAAAAGTGTACTTTGACATGAAACTGTCATTATCACCTCTTTTATTGCTTATTACGATTGCTATCACCACCAATCCTAACAAGATCATCACAGTCAAGGCAAGAGTGACAATGATCGGTATCCATGGAAACTGGGTAACATGTTGAAGTTCGGAATCTGAAATTTCCTCTCCTGAATCAATAACGACAGGGCTGTCAATCACAGAAATACTCAGTCGATGACATGTCACTGAATCATTAATATTCACGATAAAGATATCTGGCACAACGCTTGGTGTTTTTGGAAGTTGTATGGTGATGGAGAAGTTTTCTGGAGGCATGACGAAGACATCATAAAGTCCAAGATATGATATCATAAACTTATCAAACACATCCATGGTGAGATGAGCGGGACAGCTGTTCAGGGAACCTGTCAAGATAAACAGGAAAAATATACAAAACGGCAACATCTTTGTACATATAGCTAATTATGATATAGTACGTTTGAGATATCTATTCCGTATTTTCGTAATACACTTCCTGTTAATGATTACGATGTTGTGGAATAATACGTTAAAAATCAAGATAATGTACATTTTCTATTTTGAATTTGAAATATAAAATTGAGTAAAGTCTTGAGATGATGTATTCATGTTAAAAAAAAACAAAAAAAGAAAAAAACACCAAAAAAAAATAAAAATAAAAAAAAACCCCATCAAATATGCAGGAAAATAAAAGATGGGTTATTTTAAACTCTCAATGTTGTAGCAATGTGGAATATTGATTTTCAAAACTACCTGTGCATTATCTAAATCTTGCGTAATTGAGATTAAATTCTAATCCCTCCCAAAGAAAAGAACAAAAAAAAAAAAAAAAAAAATAATGATAAAAATAAAAAGCTAAATTTTTTCCTGTTGCAGCCTTAACCATTTCCCTAAATGAGTTACCTTTGACAGTGATGTTCCATTTCTGCATCCACTGGTCCCAGATAACAAAGCCGGACAAACTCCCATTTCTAATCGTTGTTTTTAAATCATCGTAGTAGTTCAGTACAGACTCATTTCCACTCAGGAAGAAGCGTATGTATGGTGCTCTAGATGTTGGTGCAATTTGATATTCAAATTTATCTCTGATCTTGATAATCGTTGGTTCTACGTCAATGCCCCCTGACTTATACATCGGCTGTGGTGCATAGATCTTGGAGAAATTTTTAGCTAAACATCCACCTCGACTCCATCCAGAAGAACTGTACAGAAATGGACGCTCCAGCTGGACGTGAGTAGAGTAGACATTATTGGGTATCAAGTCTGACCTGTGATTTCTTACTTTAAATCTTTTTTTCTTGTTAAAATCTTTAGGCTCCTTTAACTTGTGAAATTTGAATTTTTTTGCTTTTCCATCCTGGAACCTATTGCCAATGACAATTACTTCATCGTTGATATCTGACACTGCGTCATGGAAGAATGACAGGTAATCGGCACTGCTGTGTCCAAGCTTGTGATAGGTCTTGTTCTCAGCTTTAATGACTTTTGTTCTTACAGCGGAGGAGAAATTCATGTGTGGTATGGTTACAAAATATTCTACTTTGTAAAGTTTCTTTGGTTTTTTGTATTGAAGATGGCACATAAATCTCTGCTCTATGGTGTCAAACTTAGGCTCCAGGGAAAACAAGTAGAGATCTCCTACAAAAACAGAAAACAATTTGTGTAATACTAGCTTTAGACAAGGGCACACTAGTAAAAAGGTGAGAGCCAAGACATAAAATTAGTTCCAAATAAGGGAATAGGCTTCTTGTGGGGCTATTAAATAGCATTTGTTAGCATATTTACTTAATTGCAATAGACAAGGATGGGCTTATTACCATATGGGCTTATATATACACTCAGCTAGTTCAGAGGTTCATAAATATATAGTGGTCAAGTGTTTCACACAGAAGTGTTCAAGTTCAATAAATCATTGTTGAGTTATATATATATATAACTCAACAGTGATTTATATATATATATATATATATCAGATTTATTCCATACATTGTGTATGACATGGAAACAAGATTACTTTTTTTCAATACAGAAAAATAAGAATTTGGAGAAAAATGTTTTTCTATCTTATATCTGGCACGTGATTTTGGCTCTATATCTGTTGTCTCTATCACGGCATCATTTTAATATCATTGTATAACATCACAATGGTTTAACTGACCAGGTACAGAAGTTAATATGTAAAAGTATTAATAGCATAAAAATCATGTGATTAAATTATTATATAGCACGGAACAAATTCTACTGAATGTAAATCAATACCAGATTCCACTTGTTCTGTAGACAACAGAAAGTTAAGTGAAGATGGGGCCAATATCTTTAAGCTTTAAACTTTTAAAAGAACATGTTGTAAGGTGTGAGTGAGATACCTGCAGCACACTTGACTGGTTGTGGTGGACAGGCTGAACTGAAGGCCTGAAGACATGCGTATTTGTTGAAGCACGACACACTGCAGCAAGCATCTCCTTGCCCTGTTAGCAATAATCATTAATGACATCAAAGAAAAATGAAGACATGATATGTATGTGAGAAATTCTTGTCAAAGTCTTTTTCCCTATTTCGCCATTCTGCCAGCAGGTTTGATGTTACAGGTGAAAAAAATGTCATATATTTTATGGCGAGTTTAAATTTTATACCAAGACAATGAAAACCCTGAACAAATGTTTCCAATCATACAGTAAGTTTTTACACCAATATCAACCATGTTTTCCCTATCACTAAAAATACAATATGTGTAACAAATTGATACCAAGGGAGGTAACTTTGATATAGAGCTGGTACTGAGAGAAGCGGTAGTACAATACCTGAGGAAGGGTTACAGGAATTGTTCTGTACACATCGCTGACACTCCTCCTGGTAGGCTTTACATTCAGGAGATGGAAAACTCAGGGGAGTCACGTCAGCAGCCATCACACGGAAAGTTTCCCTCAACAAAACTGTGTCCTCAGAACAGTAGATGATGTTTGGGGCCTGACGAAGTTGGGAGAAGTTTCCAGGCTGAAAAAGCATTGGTGGAATAAGTTGATATTTATTTAGTTGTTGTTATTGGTTGTTTTCTTTTATTTTCTTTATTTTCTTTTTCACTTTCAATCTATTCTGTATAGAAAATGAAATTTTAAATATTCATAGAAAAAATGAAAAATCATATTATTGAACAAACATGTGTTTATGTTATTAAGATGTTGCATACTGTATGTATGAACCTTTATTAGGCTGTAGTCCTTATTACCTAAAAATACTAATCTAGTATATAGTCATCTTAATAAGAATAAAAAAGTCTCGTCCATTTACACATTTCACTTCATTAGCACTAGTGGTAACAACTATCTGGTATAGAAATTAAAGGTTTAAGTACCATCTCTGGACAGGGTGTGGTGTACGATCGCTCCAGATACTGGTCATCCTTGAAGTAGTTAGGTGGACATTGGGGAGGGTCAGTGCCTTTAGATGGACAACTGACAACTCTGGCGGCAGATGTGAAGTCACGAAAAAGTTCCAGCATCATCTTGTAATGGTCAGGCATGGGATGTCTGCAGAGCGGTTAGTTATTGGTTAGATAATATGAATTGTGTTCATACAAATGTTGTTGGAAGTAACAAGATAAATTACAGGTAGGTTAAACAATGTCAACTGAAAAAAGGTTATTCATTATAATCTCTTTTCTTAAATTCTTGGAAAATTATCTATTGTAATATCGTCAAATTATACTGAAATGATGCCAAACCTTATTAGGTTTTGCCCTTGGAGACAGAGAAGAGGTTGCGTTTATAGACATGAGAATACACTGGAGTGAGTTTTTCAAAACTTTCGCCAATTATCTTGATACAGTGATTGACGAGATCTTACAGTTTCCTTTTGATCAGACATTCCTTTTGATCAGACATTTATGAATAAAACTGAGAAATATTTTTAAACTTAAAGCATGCTTCTGGCAAGGTAAGATCTAAAGGAAATTTGATGTCCAATATATCCCATTATATAAATCAATAAATTGCTTCAACTTAAATATTATTAATCAATTATATTATAGAATTCCCATTGAAGTAGCCGTTCCAATATAAAAGTTATCTCAATTTTTACAATTTTACCTGCAGTAATTGTTTTGGATCTGAAGAAAATGGGCAGACAACTGGCTGGTCTGGTAAATATCAGTGAGAAAGAAGTTACTATCATCCGTGTGGTCCAGGTCTATATACTCGGGGACGAGGAAGATGTCCGACACCCTGACCTTCACCTGAAGGCCTGATTCTCGAGGGAAGGTGAACTGCATCGACTGTTGGTTGTTAGCTATGTACACTGGTGTGTCTACATCTTTCATCCCACTTATCTTCTCGACAAACACATTCTTTGACGTATGAACCTCCGGGGTAAAATTACCTTTTAAAGTGACACAAGAAATTTCATTTTATGAAAAACCTAAGTCAAAGACTTGTTCGCTTTATTTTCAAATCAAATATCAGAATGAGTGTTATCTTAACTTTACAAAAACAAGAAAACAAAAAGTGAAATCATGAAAAAAAAAGTTAAATTAACTAACAAATGATTAAATGTTTTTGCCTGTTTGACTATCTTACTCTCTGTTATCAAATGACAAATATTCTGGATCCAGTACAATGCTAACAATGTAGTATAAATACCTGCTTTAAGGTAGGTGGCATTCCATTTGAAATGGTCTAGAGGGAAGGAGACATCTGTAAAATCAATCACCAACAATTGAGTTAGATTCACCAGTAAACCAGTATCACACTGATTTATTATATCTTTTAGAATTTCGGAATATTTCTGTCGGTAGCTTCAGAAAATTCACAATATCAAATTTGAATAGTACATGTATCAGTAAATTCAACAATTTAATAACACAATATAATTGTTAACTTTATATAGAAGAATGGATGTGACCTAGATAACAAAAATTGAGTTTTGTAAAGCTTACCTAGACACATGGTATTCTGGGTAGTCGTACAGGCAGCCACTTGGTACTCTGATCCCTTACATTTGGAACATTCTAGAAACAGGTTTATTATTAGAATCAACATGGCATTAATAAGACTACAGTCAGTGATTGTTACAGTGAACTGGGAACTAAAAACTTTCAACATTCAAAATAAATTTGTTTTCAATGTTTATAAAATTCTATCAAATCAGTAGGAATTTTAAAGCGTTGTTGGATCAGATATACTTACCTCTAAATACCACGTCTCTATCTGCAGTGCAGCTTTCCTTCATATAGAACCCTTCAGGCACTGAGGTAGTACAGGCTACAATGATACAAAGTAATATAGAACCCTTCAGGCACTGAGGTAGTACAGGCTACAATGATACAAAGTAATATAGAACACTTTAGGTACAGAGGACACACAGGCTACAATGATACAAAGTAATATAGTATCCTTCAGGTACAGAGGACACACAGGCTACAATGATACAAAGTAATATAGAACACTTCAGGTACAGAGGTAGTAGTACAGGCTACAATGATACAAAGTAATATAGAACACTTCAGGTACAGAGGACACACAGGCTACAATGATACAAAGTAATATAGAACACTTCAGGTACAGAGGACACACAGGCTACAATGATACAAAGTAATATAGAACACTTCAGGTACAGAGGTAGTACAGGCTACAATGATACAAAGTAATATAGAACCCTTCAGGTACAGAGGACACACAGGCTACAATGATACAAAGTAATATAGAACACTTCAGGCACTGAGATAGTAGTACAGGCTACAATGATACAAAGTAATATAGAACACTTCAGGTACAGAGGACACACAGGCTACAATGATACAAAGTAATATAGAACACTTCAGGTACAGAGGTAGTACAGGCTACAATGATACAAAGTAATATAGAACCCTTCAGGCACTGAGGTAGTACAGGCTACAATGATACAAAGTAATATAGAACACTTCAGGTACAGAGGACACACAGGCTACAATGATACAAAGTAATATAGAACACTTCAGGCACTGAGTAGTACAGGCTACAATGGTACAAAGTAATATAGAACCCTTCAGGCACTGAGATAGTAGTACAGGCTACAATGGTACAAAGTAATATAGAACCCTTCAGGTACAGAGGACACACAGGCTACAATGATACAAAGTAATATAGAACACTTCAGGCACTGAAGTAGTAGTACAGGCTACAATGATACAAAGTAATATAGAACCCTTCAGGCACTGAGGTAGTACAGGCTACAATGATACAAAGTAATATAGTATCCTTCAGGTACAGAGGTAGTACAGGCTACAATGATACAAAGTAATATAGAACACTTCAGGTACAGAGGTAGTAGTACAGGCTACAATGATACAAAGTAATATAGAACCCTTCAGGTACAGAGGTAGTACAGGTTACAATGATACAAAGTAATATAGAACACTTCAGGCACTGAGGTAGTACAGGCTACAATGATACAAAGTAATATAGTATCCTTCAGGCATGAAGGTAGTGTTTTGAGTAGATATAAAAAAAGAAAATTTAGCACATGCTTAAAACAAGATACTGTACATTGTTGTACAAGTATGTTAAAATTTCACCAATATGGTGTTTATGTTTGATGAGGCAACTGAGGGCAGCAATAAAAACGCACAAATATTTCACTTTATTTTCAAAAATTGCCTGCTTTTGATAGAAAAAACTATAGAAATCATAGTTTTTTCTAACTTTTTATCAATCCATCTAGTCTGTCGTTTGATCATTTGTGAACTTGTGAACGAGTGCAGAACGTAAACTTACGTTGACACATATTATCCTCTAAGTAGAACCCTCGCTGACATCTACACTTGAGGGACCCAAACCCAGCTTCACATAAGGCATACGTATCACAAGCAGTGAGGTTCCTCTTACATGGGTCTCTCAAATCTGAAGAAAAAACCAGGTTAGAGTTATTGCCCTTTGTAAACAAACTTGCATATTATTATCATAAGGAAGAGAAGATAAATTTCAGACAATACTATCAAAATAAAAACATGAAGAGATGCAGACGAAATGGCATTTTTTTTTATTGTCAATTATTTCAAATAAAACTTTTTCCCTTCTTAATAATCTGGAAAGATGCACAAAAAAGGGCTTCTTACTTTAGTACATCTAATCTCTCAATCAATCTGTCTTTGTAGGGAAAACTTGACAGTTAAGCAGAGATAAGAGTCTTAAAGAGAGGGCTATTACTAGCAAGACAAAAATTTTCATTCGAAAATGGATTCAAATCAATGTTGATACTGCCGGCCTTAGACACTGATGGATTAGGATTTGCCCCAGGGCTGGACATTTGACTCTGCAATACTTACCCATCAGCCGGACGTGAGTGACCAGGGAGAGGCTGGACGTGTTGATAGATAGACTGGACAAGTCAGGGTTTTCGCTATAGGATCGCACCCTCCCTAAGGAAATCAGAAATACAATACATGAAGCTCGGTGCTGAAACTACTAAATGTAATCTTTGAAGTACAGCTCAACACAAACAAGACATGATATCACATCTTCAAATGAATATGTCTTTAAAGTCGTCTTTGGAATAACATGATGGTTACCAATTACATGTCACTATGGTAGACACTAAGACAAATACGGACTAAAACTAATAACAACTTTGTCATAATAGGACCATTCTACAGATCACGAGGGTATTGAGGAGCTAGAATGATGAATTGGAATCTAACCCCTAATACAATAACTCATTTATCACTTCACTATTTTACTTTGACTCTACTCTGACATCCTAATGACAAGATAATTACAATCTCACTACAATAGTTCAAATCAACAAAACAAACTCAGCATTTCCAAGTCTAGAGTTACTTCCCTTCGCATGGTATAAAGATTTCTAGAATTAATCATTTTTCAAGTGGATTTCTAGATGTGCTGAATATGAAATAATTCAGTAGAAAACACTCGCACATTTGTGATAGTGTCATTATAATATGACCTGGTCTCCTGGTATCTAGTTTGCAACAATCCTGTATAAAACTTCCAATTAAATAGTATAAAGCTATTGAAAATGTTAATTGAATTATCATATTTAACCTACAATAAATGAAAGAGGCCATCACATTAACCTCTAGCTCAAAGTTGTGAGTGGGCTTATTACAGAACCCCTGAAAGGGGCCAACAAATTTACCTCTGACTCGAAAGTCATGGGGTTGGCTAAGCACAGGACATTTCAGGGGGCGGGCATACAACTTGAACAGCAATAGATAATGTGGGGATTATATTCTGATAAATAAATGTGGTAGTGGTGAATGGTATTTCTTTCACTTCAATTATCTTTCGAAAGTTACAAAAAAATTCCCCAAAAAACCCTAAAACAACAGGAAATTTAGTTAGAGTGACAGAAATAAGGAAGCTATTCTGAAGTTGAGTTAACCTGTTGTGTACCCATGTGTGTTTTGTTTATGTCTTCAGTTGGGGCATAATGATACAACCTTTAGTGAAATGTTGCTAATTAATGTAGTGTGAAATGTTGCTAATTAATGTAGTGAAATGTTGCTAATTAATGTAGTGAAATGTTGCTAATTAATATACAAGGGGACAATTTCAGAAATACACTGAGATATTATAACGCATAACAAATCATTATTAGCAATAAACTAGTTCAAAGCCAAAAAAATAAAAAAAGTTGGGGGTGAATAGGGAAGGAGAGGGGAGGTTAGAAATACAAAAAAACAAGTATTCAGAGCTTCTTATTGCATGTGAGGCATGCTTTAGGTCAAAGTTAATCCTGTCAGCCAATCAAAAACAAGCTAAAGGGATATACGGCATGTGGTATCACATGTATGTATGGATGCCATGGAAGTTAAATAATGTCCATCTATTGTGGTAGAAATATGCATAAATCGACAAGATTATGGTAATTGACTATTTAAGGGTCACTTAAACGGTTAACAGATAGTGGTCAGTTACATGGTCAGAAAATGATTTACACAATAAGACACTGATTATCTACACTCTAAACCATCATTTCAATGTCCAATACATTTATCTAATTTAATACATTCCTAAATTGACCAACAGATAGGTCAGACATCTCCACCAACAGATAGGTCTGACATCTCAACCAACAGATAGGTCTGACTTCTAATACCATATCCTAGCATGTAGGCACACAGTTTTTTGTCTGTAAATGTCACTTAATGTTGATTTAAGCACAAAGAAAATCAGATAATACACAACCATTGCTATCCACGTCTTAGAAGTGTGACAGTTATTGTAAGCAAGATGGACACTAGATTTGGTTAAATGACAATTGATGACACAATATCCTAAACATTGTGTACTCCGAGTGCTCTGACTACTCATCTTAATCCAGATGAAACCTCAACATATCTATACTGATCCCCCCCTCCCCTGCATTAACATGCACTTATTATTACTTTATCTCCTAGTAAAAAATAACTTCTTCCTTTACCTATCTTCCCCCCGGTGTAAAATCACAATGCTGTTTTAGGTTATTTTCCCTCAGGGATTCGTAATCACAATGCTTATTATTGCTCTTGTTTTTACCTTATTTCCTCTTGAAGTGAAAACTATTTTGTTTATACCTTATTTTCTCAAATGTATGAAAAATCATATGTTGAACTTATTTTCCTAAAGTGTAAAAATAGCAACGTTTCATCTTATCTTCCCCCAGGTGTTATTTATTTTACTTTATCATCATTTACAGGTGTAAACACAGATTTCAAATTTCAATGATTTACTAGCAAAAGTGACGACAACTAAGTAAACATTATTCCAGGGAAAATAAAAATAATTGAGCAATTTTCTGCCACATGATATCCATATAAAACCCTGCTGCCCATCCTTTGTACGCATGCCATGTCACCCTTTAGTTCTGTCCATGACGTCTACAATCCAATAGAACTCAATAAGATATTGTCTGTAGACATCTTTTGTCAGTCAGACCTTCTCTCTGGTCAAGGTGACAACCTCTTAAATAAGATACAATTGTCTCAAATCACTCGTGAAATCGTTACGACTTGCTTTATATGGAAATGATCGGATGAGAAAAAAGTCTTTAAACTACATCACAGACAGAAAGTGACAGCTTCAGGGCCCAAAATATTTCCTACCAAGCCAAGCTGTTTGATTTACATCTCTATGAGAGCTTTGGCCAGTCAACACAACACTTGTAATCATAATATGTAAAGGTCTTCACCACTGATTTCTTAGCTTCCAATAATCGTAAACAGATTTTATTTTTCTCAGACAAAATTTGTGCTTCAACAATATTATAAAATGGTTCATCCATGACACTTGACTGAAAACAGCAAACAGACACTGTAAATAGCACCATCAAATTTCAATGTGACACTTTCAGTGTAAAATGTGCTAAAATTAGATCATAACAAAGAAATGTTCACAGTGTATGGATTTATTTGATGTTTATAATCATACACATAAAAATCAAAAACATTACTGGTGTATACATAAGTCTGTCAACTAATACTTCTGAAACATCTGTGTCTACAGATGTAAACAAGAATGTTTACTTAACTAAGTAATGTTTCCAATGATTTATCAACAAAACTAAGAAAGGAACCAGTTAATAGTCCCACAATTCTAAATTGATGCTGATATCAAAGATTAAAGAAGGGCCTTAACTCCGTAAAAAAACCCATTAACAGTCAGGTTAGAGATCCATCTCATTTGTTATACCTCATTTGAAATATAATTTACATAGCAAATCTGGCAATGGTTTGTAAAGAGTAAATGATATAGTGCTCTGGTCAAATTAGTATTTGGGAGAAGAGGCTGACAAAGCTTAAAGGGTGTAAGACGCTCTCAGAATCATAGACAGTTACCTCCCTTATGACGAGCTAACCAAAGAAAAATGTGTATTTACCCTGTCGAAAGCCCAGGGCAGTATGGAGCACTGTACTCTACCAGGATATTGAAATTTGTGTTGGCTTAAAGTACATAGGAATGCAAGTCTCCTAATTTATTTATTCCCAAAACATTTACCTAGGAAGGTTATTAAAGTGTTAAAGCATATAAGTAATCTGTTCAGATCAATTTCCAATGTTGTGCAACAAATCAGAATTATTACAATAACATTAATCTAACAAAAATATCAAATTATATTTTATTGCCATTTCAAGCTCACAAGATATTTATCAAAAATAATGCTTTTAGTAAAAATGATCTAATAAAGTTAAGCATAACAAACACACACAAAAAAAAATCAAAAACGAAATATACTGGTATATGACAAATGGAATATTTGACCTTTATGCACTTTCCTGTTTCCTACAATCTTTTAATAAGCACTTTTTATTCTGTATCTTTTTTCAGAAAGTTTGGTTAATATTTTATGATTACAATGACCATTATGAGCAAAAGTGATTTATGTCCCACTAAAAACCTTCAATTTCTTGGAGACAAATTCTCACTTACAGCATCAACAGTGATAATTACCAAGTGTAAAATGCTCATAAATATTAATTGAAATCACAGCTATTTTTAGAAAAGAAGTTTTTTAATGAAAGCTTGGTGAATTAGCAGTCATTAAGTACTTTTTAGCTGAGGTCATAACATCAATAAATCAAAGCAAGTTGGGACTCACATAGATACACTCATCACCCCCCAGTCCTTTCATTTTTTCATACTTGTTAATGAGTTCAGGATATACATTATACACAAGATGTTTGTTTTAGAGATCATTGAATGTATCATTTAACCTTTAAAGCTGACAAATGACCAACAAAATCTCATAAAGTGTAGAACTTTATGTGAGATTTTACAAAACCAACATGATTAATTCTCTTCAGAAGTCCGTTATATATCTTGAACACAAGGTTTTTATTTCAAACGCGGTCAAGAGTGACCCTTGACCTGAAAACCTTGATCAATGTTCACCAAAACCTTATCTGGTGTAGAATTTTATTATAAGTTGCTATTATGTGAATTTTAACTAAATTTGTTTGGTCCATGATATATGCTTTGCGTTCACAGACACATGGAAGGATTCATGGACAGACAGAGAGATACTATGATAAGTGATATAATATCATATCAACATTTATCACATACGACATCAATTGTCTTCCAGAAATCTAACAAAGTAAACATGTACCTTTGTATTGACACTAACACAGAAATTTCATGTTAGATTTACATGTTGTTCAGGCTCCTTAAGATTGTCTCTCCCCGCTATGTTACATAGCTGACTTATTTCATGTCTGTTAATCTCCTCATTGTTACAGCATTATTCACTCCATAGCTGTACTGTCAGTTTTTTGCTAACCTCACAGGTTAGACGGGAAGGTATAATTTTCTGGGTGGAAATGCAGTAATAATCTACGCTATAACATACAATTTTATGTTGCCCGGGGCCATAAAGGATTTCAAACGTGGCTGTAGTATAGATGGTTTGCATCACAGTGTAATAATAACATTGTACAGACTTATAATCAGCCCTTTCTTACAATAACATGGCTGGAAGATGTAAACGATTTCTCAGGGATATTTAGATCTTATGTGACATTGTACAAGACTCTGTCAGTAAAACAATGCATCAGCATCCAGCGAGCATCACAAAATATTACAGTGTTTCATGTATAAACAGAACAATCCACACAATATGAAACTTCACAATTATTTTGACGAAATGTCCAACAATAATTTTATCATTAATTCCTGATTCCGGGTTTATGTAAAATTTTACAAAGATACTAAGTATGTGATTCACCAGAAAATTCATATTTGTCAATTGAATTTAACATGTTCACTTCCTTTAAATAAACATAAGTTAAAACTATATGTCCTAATGACATGTAGTTTTGATTCATAATTAGGATTTTCACAGAAATAAATTCAGTGAGATCATTAGAAACAAACAGCTGTAAAAACTTACGAATTAATGAGGTTTGTGGGAGGAATACTTTGAGAGTGTGTTGTGACGATGTCCCATGCTGCACAGCATAAACCATTGCAAGTGAAAACATAACACAGAGACAGACGAGGGCGGGTTTGGACAGTTTTCCTGGATTGCTGAAGAGGACTTTCTGACTGGAGCATACATGATGACAGAACCACGTTGACACCATCTGGGCAGACATCTTGGTCGTTTCTATAGTGACGGTGTCAACAACATGCTGATGGGGATTCAGTGCTTCCACCTGGTGATCATTTTGACATTTTGTTTTCTGTAAATACATAAAATGAAAACAACATTTAAAGACCACAGTTTTTTGTGATATTGCCTGTAAAAGTTTACATCAGAACTCCTTAAATATTTATCTTTAGATGACCTATTTATGTGAAGGATTCAGTGACCTTGATATCTGCTGAATGATTAAATGACCTTGATCTCTATATGATTTAGATGACCTAGTTCACTGTATGATTAGGTGACCTTCATCTCTGTATGATTTAGGTGACCTTGATTGGTGTATAATTAGGTGACCTTGACCTCTATTTGATTTAGGTGACCTACTTCTCTGTATGATTAGGTGACCTACTTCTCTGTATGATTAGGTGACCTTCATCTCTGTATGATTTAGGTGACCTTGATCTCTGAATGATTAGTGACCTTGAGTGGTGTATGATTAGTGACCTTGAGTGGTGTATGATTAGTGACCTTGAGTGGTGTATGATTAGTGACCTTGAGTGGTGTATGATTAGTGACCTTGAGTGGTGTATGATTAGTGACCTTGAGTGGTGTATGATTGGTGACTTTATGTGGTATATGATTAGGTAACCTTGATCGCTAAATGATTAGTGACCTTGAACTCTGTATGATTTAGGTGACCTAGTTCTCTGTATGTTTAACTGACCTTGAATGCTACATTAATGATATATTAAATCTCTTTATCATATACAGTAACATTGATCTCTATATCATTAGGTGACATTGAATAATATAGACTACATATAACAGACTGAGAATTAGCCCCTGTATTACGAGGTTTGACATTAAAGATAGAGTGATTACAAGCAGAATTAATTGCATTCAAAGTCAAAATATTAATAATCACAAAAGAATACTTTATACATACAAGGAGATATACCTATCAACAGCAGTCTTACCCTTGAGTTCTGTTGATATTTAAGGAAGAAGAAATAACTCATAGCCTAATTTTCCAATAAGATTGCTGGACAGCATGTTACAAATTCACTCCCTAATGATCTTATACAAGGATTTTCATTAGAGAGATACTTCTGTGAGTAAAAGTCACCATCCTTCACAATATCACGATTACCAGACCAGCACTATAGTGACAAACACCTGTAACACTGTGACTAGGGAGATCACTATGACGTATCACCTTCACACACTTCTCTAAGAGTGCTACAAAATGGACTTCCAATGCAGGTATGTTTATCTCATTAAGCCCCCACATGTTCTTCTTACTGACGGAATTTGTCAAGACTTTTTAGTTCAATAACACTTTTATGATGATTTGTCCATAGACTGATCCAATGATCTTTACATTCATTCTTCAACATAACTCAATCAGTGTGGCACACCCAGACAGATCCATATAGAATGTTACATATATCTGACTGATAAAAAGTCTTATTCCTTTCAAAATGGACATTTAGCTTATTTACTGTAGTAATGACCAAACCTCTGTTTTCAATCCTAGTTTCTCATTTAATGACGGTAAATCAGTAATTTAAATAAGTTGCCATTATACAATGTGACCAACTTATTTTCCCAACACATTACACAAGATAACTCTGAAATTGACAGAATGAGTTATTTCCCCTTGTTACTTATTTCAAACATTTTGGATTTCTCAGGAGTACTTCGAATAAATCAAATTTTCTCTTGATCTTCCTAAATTTAAACACCTGACATTAACATTTATCAAATAAAAAAATAAATTTTCACTTTAAGGGTCCTGATAGGGTTAAATGTCATTTCATTCTATTCACTATCACTAGATTTAATCAAAACTTGATTTGTTCAGAACTTTAACTACAGGAAAGTGAGAATAGCAGATGCAGGATGCAGTGTGACAAATCCCATGTTGCTTAAACCAATGAAGGCAATGTCAATGGAGGCTATATTCTCTGATAAGCTTCCCAATATAACTGAATTTCTCAATAATGAACAATTACTGACCATTCAAATTCTTAGTGACTCTTAACTATAGATCTGATACTGACCAGTTGTCTCCCTGCAACACCATATTGACTCTAATCCGATAGACTTAATACTGACCAGTTGTCTCCCTGCAATACCACATTGACTCTTAATCTGATAGACCTGATACTGACCAGTTGTCTCCCTTTATATCTTCTTGAAGCTAACCCACTAGATCTCATACAAACCAGTTGTCTCCCTTTAATATCTTATTTCTTCTAACCAAATATATCAGATTCCAACCAATTGTTTCTATCTTTATTTACAAATCTAACAAAATGTATCTGATATTGACCAGTTGTCTCCCTTTATATTTCTTTCATACTCTTACCATACCAATGTGAAAGCAGAGCTTACATACAGAAACTTTAAAAAGTATCACTTGATTTGACCTTTGTCTCTAAATAAACTACATCACAAGCCCACTAATTCATCAATATATGGCTGATCATCAACCTGTATGTACATTAAAATCACAGTACAATTTAATTGAAACATTATTAAAGTTAACCCCCCTCAATTCCATCCATCATACAAACACAAAATTAAGATGATGCCTACAAAATACCATACACTCTATCAACCCAATGATAATACACAGCGGCTGGTTTTACACTCTACAATATAATCTTTACAACAATTTATCAATTTTATGAAATTTCATTTGTGATTCACCATTTGAATTTTAGTTATCTATTTTGCTTGAAGCCTTTAGAACATTGGATTATGTTTAGAAGTATTGCTGATAGTTCCCTTCAATTAATATTTTTATCAAAAGAGCACCCAACATCAGAGTATTTTCAGCTAGATTTAGTTTGAAGTTATCGCTAAACATATCGTAGTACTGGTGAAATCACCTATACTGATCTCAAGGGTCCTATGAACACCTTGAAACATATTTAGGATCTCCTGGTTTCAGAGAATCCGAGGTTTCATTGTACTTTTCGGCTCTTATCAATTTTATGAATTTCAAATTTCTAATGATTAATGATCTTCAAGCGTTTTAGATTTGAAATTTAATTTCTTTGAAATCGTGTATCCCATGTATTAGATAACCTTTAATCACATTGCACTTTTCTTACTGAACCAATATTGCTATCAAGAGTTATTTGCTAAAACCTTGATGTTTTTTAATCTGAATCTTGTAAACTCTTTAATGACTAGTTCCAATGGGTGAAAAATGTAAGAGTCTACAAAAGGCTTGAAAATGTACTGCTAGTAAACAGAATCACCAAAGAAAGCATTCCTACTTTACAGTGTGTGTACAATTAACAGGATCAAGATTTTGCTATATCAATTAGATTATAAACTCTGGCAGAGAGACAATAAGATTATATTACTGACTGAAATAATGAGGCTCCACTTAATACAATTACGATGTGCATCTCTCCTCCAGAATTTTATCTTTATGTCAGACATGGTTTACAGGAAGCAAATATATAGGTTTTACACCCAATTTGTTTTTTGATTGATATCAGTTTCTTTTATTTTTCAATTTTTTTTTGGAAACAAAAAATGCGAAAATCAAAGGTCATCATTTTTTAAAAATTCTTTTATCAAAATCATGGGACAGATCTTTTACGAGTATATGTATTTCACATTTTTATATAAATGGGAAACATCTATTAAGAATTAACAGTTGAGAAGTGTAAATTGCCACATATATTTTGACATGAAATTCATTGCAGGTTTCACATAGCATTGATTTAATGTGAATTAACGGTAACTATCACCATTCCAACTTAAATACCTATCTATATACATACAGTTCATGGTGGGTTAAATTTTGAAATGTTTATGGTCACTAAAGTTTGCATGAAATTATAAATCTAGCAAGCATTGTATAGTAAACCAAAAACCAATACAACCATGAAGTATTAGCCCTCAAAATAACAAACAATCATACAACAGTATAGTTTTCAATACTATCTCTGGTCCCGATGGGGCCAGCATCATATCTGCTGACTGAGCTATTTAACTCTCTTAACAAATACACAAACAGCATTTATGTAGGAGTTTTACAAAGTTCATTGTGAGCACTAAATGATAACTTGACACACATCTGATCTGCAGCAAGACCTTCCCACACAGCACAATGACGATCAAGCTCCTGATCCAATTTGATCAGCTGTGATAGATCCAAACTAATCCAATGGCTGGAACAGTCTAAAAGTCTTTATACCTTTAATCAAATAAAAAAACTGCATCTGGAAATGGGTCTGACAGTCCAATGATATATCAGATGTACACAGAACAATTACGACTTTCAAATGGGAAAGATGTCCATCAACTTCTATCACTTAATTACCTCCCCTTGTGGCCTGCATTGTCAATAGTTATTATAAGTGATGTTTTTGAAGTATTCCCTAATGTTCCCAGTGGTACTGTGTTCTATGTTTTGTACAATAGAAACTGGTGAAAGAAATTGTCAAATATCACCCTATAAGTAAACGATCAATAACAATTATCAATTACAAACCAAACAAAAGAGAAAAAATTCAGAGAAGGTGTCCTAAAGGTGTCCTAAAGGACAATGAATGCCACAAGAGCTTGACACCAAATGAACTTCTCTTTCAACTAGAAAATACATGTTTACATTAGACACAATTTTGCTCCCTATATATATATAAAAGAACCAATGTTAGACAAATGTCTAGGAAAAGAAATTGTGACTCAGACTTTGATTTAAAGGTCCTAAACATTGATTCATTTAAGGTACCACAGTCTCTAAAGAAAATAAAGCTGCTAGGATGATGATATTGAATAAGACAGGGATGGGACAACTTAAAATAAGGACTGGGCAGGAATGGACAGGATGGACATAGGTAACAGAATATGACACGTTACCCAATATTGATAAAACAGTGGGACATTTAATTTTTCAAAACATCAACTGAAATTTTCTCTGTTTAACTGACTAATAAATTGCTCTCATCTAAAGACAGTACTTACTGTTGTAAATTAA